TGAAAGAGATGCATGGCTCGATTATTGCCAACACGAGTAGTTATTGATCTAAATGACTGCTTGGAAAGGAAGGATGATAGAGAAACCACGCTCTGCTATTCACATGTTTAGACCTCCTGTCTCATTTCGCTTGAGGTAACAGGGAAAGACATGTACCGTGGCGTGGCAACAAAGAAATTCCTCTGCCTGCTTTAAAGTTATCAGGCACTTTTACATATTAAAGAAAATTTATTAAAAATACATAAAGCATTTGACTTTAAATACATTTTGCTAACTAAACCAGCTCATATCCCACGAAACACCCCAAAAGCAGCTTCGAACCCTTTGGTTTGCCCTTGACGCAATGCAGAGCAGCCTTGGGGCCACTCGGAACTGCCGTGGCTCTGCTGAAAATCCTTTTAAGTAGCCGGGAAAACCAGCAGATTGGTGGTTGCTCCGGCCATTCTTCCCGTTCGCCGGCACCATCCCACAGGAGATGTTGCAGGAGACCGGGAGATGCACCTCTCCCCTCCCTCGTGCCCCTGGGAGGAGGAGAACCAGCCTCCTGCCCACACCTCGGTCCAGCACCGGAGGGGAAAGGGTGGCTGCAAGATGCCCTCGCTCCCTTCTCTGGGACCTCATCCCACCTCCGATATTGAGACTGGTTTCGGCCACAAACATCCCATTAGCTGCCACGTCTGTGCTTTAGTTAAAGTTTGATACTATGGCTGTTTTCATGGGGCGATGTAGCTAGTTCCCTGGCTTTGACTATTTCCTTTTATAGACTTTAATCGCATGTTGTGCTGAAAAATTGGTTTCTTATGAGCCGTTGCGATTTGTTTCCCTTTTTGTTTTGGTATAGGGTGGATTTTTTTTGTTTGGTTGGGTGTTTTTTGGTTTGGTTTTTGTTTGTTTGGTTGGTTTTGGTTTTGTTTGTTTGGTTTGGATTTTTTTTTTTTTTAAAGGGGATTTTTGTGCTCTTTCTGTGACTCCGTCTTTACCATCCTTTTTGTGCTACTGGACCGGCATAAGAGGGTGGGGGGATCTTTTGCTCTAAGGTTGAAATTTGTGTATAAAATATATTTATTTTGTTAACTTTTACCAAAAGTGATTACAAATTTCCAGTGTGAAACTTTCAAATATGGACTTGCCCTAACCTGACAGTTGACTTTATGAATGGGTGGATTAGAATAAAAACTCATTTGCCTCAGGGAGAATTTGAGATAAGATCAGGAAGTGCTTTCTCTGATTTGTGTCAGGAAAACACAGTACAGAATAAATACATATTTTCCAGGAGTAATATACTGCCCAAGTGATGAGAGGCTGCATTTAATTTGCTGGACATATATAAAGCAATGTATTTCAACTTACGAAGCTGGGCAGCTAATCCAGCTTTCTTCCCACAATAGGCATTTGGAAATCTCTCTGGACCGCGGTTTTCTGTCCACCCAGCCAAAAGAAGTTGGCACGTGCTGCACGTGGCACAGCAGTGGCTAAAGCAGAGCCGTGCTGGAGCCATCCGCAGAGATATAAGTGTACTGATACGGCCAAGATGCTACTTGCTTTCAGCAAGCTGTGAAAACTAGCTGGAATTCTGATACACAAAAGAAATATTTGAAAAATTGTGCACGAAAACAGTGCCGTGGGATTGGATCCAACAGCCATTGCTACAGGCTGCAATGGGCAGAGAAGAAAGCTAGGACAAAAGATAAAAGGCATTTGCAAATGATAAAATGGATATATATTTTTTCCTGTTTCACCATCTGGGCTGTGAGCCCCCGAGATGCGGCCAGTTGCTCACCACGGGCTGGTTAGGTGACGGGTCATGGACAGCACAGAGGAACCACGGCGTTACAGCTTCTGGGCTACAACCAGCTAAGTGAAATCCTGTCCGTTGGCCCCCTCTGGATACAGCCTGAAGCTGCTTGAGTTGTCCTGCAAACGCCTATTAGCAGCTGGATTTTCTCGCTGCCGTAAGCCAGCGGAGGCAGTGGGGGCTGGCAGCCCACGGAGGCTGCGGTACCCGAGCGGGGCAACCCACACCTCTCGGTACTGCAGGCAGATCAGAAGCCAGACCTATCGGAAAGCTTTGCAATGTCATTCTTTGGTGCGGATTTGGGGATGAAGGGGAAATAAACCCATCTTGGGCTTCCTCCGTTATTCAGCCTGACCAGGTATCAGTATAGACATCAGCAGATCTACTTTGCAGATAGTTACAGAAATACTCTCTTTTCCCAGTGCGACTATAGTAATACGCAAAGGTGTTTAGAATTAAGATTTGTGATATAGACAGCTGGATCTTAGAAGTTGGTTGAGCAGAGAGTTTGCAGCCAGAAATATAAGTTTTGGTTGTGCATCAGGTTTGGGTGGGTGGTCCAACCCTTTCCCAGTTAAACTGGGTATCAGGCCATAGCTCATGGAATTAGATTTCGTTTGTGCAGGACGTCACGTTGCCACTGTTTTTACCACTATTTGTACCCCATTCTGCATGAAATACTTTGTTGACTATATAGTAGCTTGAATAATGTTTATATATAATCCTAAAGGATTTATACGCTGCAAATTTTAGGGAAGCAGTGATTGTGCTGTTGGGAACCCAGAGCCACAGCACTCCTACACCCGCCCGTCTCCTCTGTGTATGTGCATGCACTCTGCAAAGCTGCCTTTCAAAAAAACCCCCAAACCTATTATTTATTTAACATCAATACTACATATTTTGGAGAAACATGGAGAGTTCAAGGAGGCGCGGATATATAAAGTACAGCATACTTCAGGCATAAAGTTATCAACTCCAGGGATCTCTTGTGTGAGTTTTTAATAGGGCATATTTCACTGACAAAAAATCCTAGCAGAGCAAAATTACATCCATTGAGAGGCTTGATTAAGTTTTTGGGGTTTTGTTTGGTTTTTGTTTTCCCTGCATCTGTTCAAAGCTGTGGATTTAGTTGTATTTTAACTATATGTTAAGTATATGGGACAAACCTGAATGGACCCAGGTCTAATTGTATTTACAAATATTTTTAAGCAACTATAATAATAACTTCCTATGTGTGCAAGATGTTATGAGTGAGATTAGATATGAGCCCAAAACAGTAATCAGTTCCACAATAGCTTTTAATAAACAGAAAATTGAATAAAACAGTTTTTAGAAAAGTACAGAATAAAAGCAGAAAATATCTCTTCCCTATTAACCATTGGTATAAATCCTAAGATGTCTTGTTTCAAAGTTACAAATTGCAACCTTCACTAAATTGTTATATGGAAAAGGTCACAGTTTAAGCACAATACTGCTGGTGTCTTATAGAATATAGGTATTAACCTTTCCTCATTTTGCCCCCCCGCCTTTTATAGAAAAGACAAAAAATACTTTCACGTTTCCAAAATTAAAGGAGGCACCAAGAAATCACATTGCCACTAAAAGCCAGTTGTGTTATGCTACGTCTTAAAGTCAAAGCTTAGTGAAAAACATTTCACTACTTACGAAAGAGGAATGGATTCGAACCACACTATGCCGGGTCATGGCCAAAGCCTAATTTAGTTTTATTTGATTATTCAGCTGAGATATCTGTTGTCTGTAAATGATGCATAGCAGCTATGGAAGTGTTTGCAAGCCGATGGTAGGGTCTCACTTATGTTGGAGTTTTTTTCTTCAACAAATTTAATTTCACAGTTATTTAACCTTGTAGTTGTAGTTCTGCTATTTTAGCCTACTAGGAAGAGACTAGGATTTATTTGACTTTCAAGGAATAGTTTGAAAATAAAGAGTTGAAGAGCAGACCTGAGGGTGGAGGTGTGGTTGTTTTGCCAGGCTCTCGGCACGGGTGCGAGGGCATCCTGTTAACTCTGCAGCTCTAAAGGCAGTGAAAAATAAACTCAGTGGATGTACTGTTGGGTATAAAAACTAGTATTTTAAAACTATTTTTCTTTCAATTTGGCATCTGAATATAGAGGGAAAAGCGCTACTTTGCCTGCAGTAATTTTTTACGTAGCGTGATCTCTATTCAAAATGCAACCTAGAGGAAAACATCCCGCAGACCAAGTCTGTCGCAGGTGTGCTTGGGAAAAAGCACTACTTTGCCTGCAGTGATTTTTACGTAGCGTGTTCTCTATTCAGAATGCAACCTAGAGGAAAACATCCTGCAGACCAAGTCTGTCGCAGGTGTGCTTTTCTGTTTGGTGTAACAAATAAGGATCCAAGTTCAGTCGCTACTTCTCTGTCAGGTGCGGAGTCAATAACCGCCTCTTGTGCTTGGTGATTTGTAGCCGCAAAGCAGCATCAGCATTCCTCTTCCTGGCTTTACTCGAAAGTCTGTCTGCCCTGCAGATCTTAATTACATCCGGGCACAGCATCTGAGGGGATTTCTGACCCCACCTGCCACCTCTACACCGAGATTTATTTCTATTCCTAATGCAGAAGAAAATCAATGCGACGCATCCTCTGGTAGCTCTATGGTTCCTGAGCCTACGGACTTAAAAAGCAGTAAAAGTTATTTGTGGTTGTGACAGTCATCACAGGTACAGCAGGATATACAGAATACACCATCTGCTGAATGAGACCTTGTATTAAAGTGGAGTTCTACCTAGAAAGTTGTGTATATAAAAATAACTCCGCAGCAGTGGTTGCTTATTTTCATAATGAATTTTAGTTATGATTTACGCAATAACAAATGACTCTCTGAAAATAGAGGAAGGTGCTGTTCATAACAAACCTTTAGTAAGTAATACTTACAAGCTCTTTTTGGATGTTCCCTTCCAAGCTTTCTAGGGAGGGCAGGTATATTTGTAGAGGAAAACTAAGGCACTGTGATACCCAGTCAGCCCAGCAGAGTGATAATCTTTCGAGCCATTTTACGGCCTGATTTTAAAAAGCAAATAAACTGGCAGAGGTAGCAATGCATTTTATAGATTCAAAGACCAGGGCACAGATAAATTTTAAATTGTTATGAACAACGGCTTATGGAACGCAAAAATATATTTGTGATGTTAGTTGCTGAAAAGGAAATGCAGTTTTTGGGTTGGGGTTTTTTTTTTTTTTTGAGGTTAGGCAATCTGAGTTTTGCTCATTCTAGTTAGAAGAAAGCTCAGTCCCTATTGAGGACCCTCTTCCTGAGTAGCCGGAGCCTTGACATGACCACGTCCCAGTCTGCGTAGGCACCTTCCAGGTGACGGGTCACTTCTGATCCCGACGGGTAGCTTTGGCGACCATGAAGCACGCGCCAGTTGTCAAACGTCACTATGTCTCCTATAAAGAGATTGCGCAAAGTTTAATATTTGGTATGTTACAGTTGATTCCTTCAAGGAGATAACATGGAGGTAGATTTATATCAACAGTTAAGGAGAAAGAATTTCAAGTAGCGTGACTGGGGATACACAGCAACGACAGAGTAATTTTAGTTTAGCTGGTCATTCTCAACCAGAGAGGACAGGTCCCTTTCGACGTCTGCTTCTTTTCTTGTATAACCAGGCGTTAAAAAGCAGAGTCCATGCTGAGCAAAGCAGGCCTGGAGGGGAAAGGCGACTACAGAAATCCACAGGAAGGATAAAAAGGGTGAAAGCCACTCGGGTGATTTTTATTTGATGGGTCTGGTAGTATTTGTACTGTACACATTCTGCATTGCTATCCCTGTTGAGGGAATTTTATAAGAACAAAGTCAATCCACTGAAAGTTAGAAAATCACGTAATTAAGGCTAGCATGCCATTTTAATTTTTCTCCCTTGTGTACCACTATTATGATAAATTTGTAATTAAATAAGCTTATAGTATTTCTTTCCTTCTCCCCCTCCCCTGTACCAACCTTTTGGTGTGTTAATTGATGGGATGATGGCACTAATGTAATGTGAGGTACTTTGTTTTACCATTTATTATGTGATCTTATAAATTATTTTATTGCGTGTTCCCAATAGAGAGAGATTAATTTCCTCATAGACATTTTAAAGACACTAGCATCGTAGTACATGAGGCAGTGAGATACACTAATGAATTTACTTTTGTCACATCTCTTGAGAGAAGAGGGACTATCCATATCTTTATTTTATAGCTGGGGAATGAAAGAACAGAGATTAAGGCCAAAGTAGTTAAATATACGCAGGGACTGACTTTTAAAGAGTAAAGGGCATTTTTGCAGCTTGTTTTATGTTCAAAACGCAGCCCTGTACGGCTCTAGCCGAAGTTTAGAGCATTTAGCACTTCTGCAAATCTGCCTCCAGATGTCTTGCCCAGACCACCCTGAAAAAGCAGTGCAGCAGCAGCGGCCTTCGGTAATTCATCCGGCATTACGCTGGCATTCGGTGTCTAAGCAAAGGGGTAACTGAATTCCCCGCCGTGCAGTTCAGCTTCCCTCAGCGTTACGCACATTATGCATCTGTATCGTCTTCTAGACGTTCTGCAGCTCCTGCAGCCATTGGGAAGGTGCCCCGCTAATATCGGTAGAAAGCCCAAAGCATCAAACGAAGCAGAGGAAAAAAGTATGTGATCGCGTATCATTTAATGAACAGACACTGAGCCGGGATGGCACAGCAGTCTTGCACATGGCATGTCTCAACTGCGGTGCTACTGATATGACAAGTTACAATTTCCTATATGGTATGGGGGTTTGGTGTAATATAAAGATACATTGGCCTAATCAATAGCCTCTATTTTCTCCCCAGCTTTTTTTTTTTTTTTAATAGTGTAACAACAGCAAAATAAATCTATAAGATTAATGTAAGGATGCAGTATGAAATAAAATAGGTGACAGAAGGACTGAATTTCCTCCCCATACCAGTGCTAACAATGCTTAAGTATTTTGACGGTTAGGAAAAACATGAAAAATCATTGCGAGGAGAAGCAACTTACTGACCTGGTTTCAGCTTGTAAGTAAACTTGTGTTCTGCGCTGTTCAATAAATCATCAAATTCCTTTAGAGCTGCATAAAATGGCCTCACTTTTTCAGCTGGTATGTCAAACACTGTGTCTCTTGTTGCGTTATTATAATTGATGCGAACTGCTTGGCCTCTGGAATCCACACTGTGAAACAGAGAAGGAGAGGGAAAGGAATGTAATATGTTGTTACCGAAACATTTTAAGATGGTGAAACGACAACTGAACTCTCCTGCTGGAATTTCAGTGTGTTTCCACAGTGAAATTCAGATTGCTATTGGGTTGGATTTTGATAATTAAGCCTAACTAGGAAAAGGGGGATGATCAGGAGAAAGTGTAGACACTTCATTTCTTCAAACATCTGTATTCTGTACACTTTAATTGTAGAACTGTAAACTCCTTAAATTCAGAAAATATTATGATCATTTGCATTTTATCTTTTAATAATACATCGTTTTCAATCTAAATGCTTCAAATTGTGATCTGTCTTGGGCACGATACAGATGTATGTCGGCTGGAATTTATTAACAGACCCAGCTGCTGTTAACCTGTATCTGTACCGAGGGGTTGCTCTAATTACCACCACTTCTTGCTGGTGTCTGGCAAAACAAAATAGGAAAAAATATGCTGTGGTGGTACAAAGCACAGAACGCGTCATACACTGGCAAAAAACCCAACAAAAACAACCAAACAAAATTTAACTACAGACCAAGTTAAAGCGGTGTTTCCCCACAAGGTGGCAGGAGCAGACCTTCTCCTACCAGCATGTCATCCAGCACACACCAGGGATTTTATTTTTCGATGTTGTTGAAACTACTCACTCTATAATCCTTTGTTTACATTGTACAGCAAAATCACAGTAGTCCACCCCAACATCTGTATAGTCTACAGCAGTAGAGGACAGGATCTGATACGCCTGAGGATTTTGTTCCTTCAGCTTGTTGGATACGTTAAATCCATCTACAACTTCACTTTCACCTCCTGCAGCTGTTTGCTTTATACAATGGAGAAGCTGAACCTGGAATGAATTAACATCTCATTACGAGAAGAATTAGCTTGCATATTTAGCAGTTCATTAGTATCAGTTCCCTCATATCTGCGGTTCTGGGTTTTTTTTTTTTTCTGTTTTGTTTTGTTTTTCTCAAGAAAAGACTGAGTCCCCATTACTGCAGCTTCACAGTGCTCTGCCACCACTGCCACACAGGCAGAAAATTAAAGTAGCATGTTCATAAATCCACCCCATTTGGGACATCTTCTAATGCTTGCAACCTGCGAGTCAACTGCAAATCTCTGGTCTCGCTTCTTTCCTTTGAGTGCCTCTTTGCCGCAGTCATATAACTTTAAGTACATTGCAGTCTTATCTCAACAAGGAGGATTAGTTTTCTCTCGCAGAAATAAAACCTACTGGGAAGTATCTGCTCATGGAGGGGGAAATGTGGCTCTTGTAGCAGGCAACAGACCCAGTCTCTCTATCATAAAGTAGGACTAAGAAAGTTTCATTTTACCTCACAGTGAAGTTGCCAAGGTGTAAGATGGCGCAGAAAGCCCAACCTGGGCTCTTGGTCGCACTGGTGGCATTAGAGAGCACAGCACCACACAAAGTGTGACCATCCATCTCAGCCAAACAACACAAAATACATCTGCCATACCAATGGTAACAGCGTCCACCTTTCCCTTCCATGTTCACAGAATCCCAGAATGGCCAGGGTTGGACCTCTGGAGATCGTCTAGTCCAACCCCCCCGCCAGAGCAGGGTCACCTACAGCAGTTGCACAGGACAGCGTCCAGGCAGGTTTTGAATGTCTCCAGAGTGGGAGACTCCACAACCTCTCTGGGCAGCCTGTGCCAGTGCTCTGCCACCCTCAAAGGAAAGAAGTTCCTCCTCATGTTAAGATGGAACTTCCTATGCTCAAGTTTGTGCCCGTTACCTCTGTTCTGTCACTGGGCACCACTGAACAAAGACTGTTCCCATCTACCTGGCACCCTCCCTTTAAATACTTTAAGTATTGGTAAGATCCCTCCTCAGTCTTCTCTTTTCTAGACTGAAAAGACCCAAGTCCCTCAGCCTTACGACTCTTCAGCTGTCCTGGCTTTCCCCTGACAGTGGCTAGGCCTGTAAGACGGTTTGATGATTAAGCCCTAATGATGGTGAATTATTTCTGAGACCACAAGGAGGAAAAAAAAGAAACAAAAAAAACCCAACAAACCAAACAAGAGGAGTAGAGAACATGGTTTGTCCCAGAATCTCCTCACCCGCTGGACCCCCAGACCTTGATGATGGTGATGAAGGGGGAAACTGAAATAACCGACAGTGCAGGAGAGGGATTTGTTTGGAAAGGATGTAAGCTAGTTCATTCATTTGATGAAGCAGCTTTCTGCCCTCCTGCCGTGCTCCTTTTGGCCACCAAGCTGTGGAGAGGACTTGGGGCTGCCACTGAAGGCAACCACCTCTTCTTGTCGTCACAGTCAGCCTTCTATATATAGGGTAAGCAAGGCTTGGCGCTGCTAAGGAAGGCTGCAATAATGTACTGCACGGTAAATGACTCTGAAAAAGTTCAAAGGGAGAATTTAGTTTGAATGAGAATTTAGCTTTATATTCTAGAGAGACAAAGTTTCTGCTAAATTTATATAATCTGGTTTTCGTGGTTTTTTTTTTTTGTTTGTTTTGTTGTTTTTTTAAAAATCAGGATGTCTCTTGGAAAAATAGTTGCCAGATGAAAACCTAGGAAATCCTTAAAGTATTTTTACAGGATGGCTCTGAAACTAATTGTCATCCATTTAAAAACATTTCTTCAAATACTTGTAGCAAATAGGTCTTAAGAGTTCAAATATTGTGTAATAACTAGATAAATAAAGAAAAGTGCACATTCAGGACGATGTTCAACCATAATTCAGTGTGCTTTAATACTTTTATTACTTACAAGCACGTTTGAATGAAAAAGGTTACGCTCTTTTTCTAATGTTTCATAGCAGAGTGTGAGCTTTGGCACAGACGAGACAGTGAGCTAATTCACATCTGCTCTCTATTAATGAAGCTCTGTTCCATTCTTACTCCACATTAACGAACAGCATCTAGATGATTTTAATAGGTGGTGTTAGCGTGAATATTTGGCACTCACTTGTGGATAAATCACATTGGCTTTTTGTTTAATTATAGAAACAACTCAAACAAAGTACTTCAAAATATTAGAAGGGGAAGTTGTAGGTATGAAGATTATAGATGCAAACTTTTCCAGGATTATCTTTGTTCCTTTGTACCTCTTCTTTTACTACTTTCCGGTTCCCTGGTGAAGTATGTGGATTAGGCTTTGATATGACAGGGGCTAGGTGAAAATCTGTTTCCTGTGGTGCTTGCCCAGCTTTACAGAATGCCCCTTTTTTGTCTATTATGGATGGGCGAATAACTGCCTAACTTAATTCATAGAAAAAAACCATCTTAATCATATTTCTTCTGATACGTTCTCCTCCTGAGGTGAGCAGACCTAAAATATCACAACTTGAGTACAGCACGACTTGCCAAGGCAACTTGACTACGTATTGAAGCAGCCCAGCTGCTTCAACGTAGTGAAAGTAATATCAAAAGCACATACAGGACCCTGATGCTTTCTCATATGGTAATATTCTCAATACTTTGCGAGTTTCCATTTAAAAATTATGGCATACATAACGGGCTTGCGATGCAGAATTTACATTATAATGTATATATTGCATACCCATGCGTGCATAGATTGGAATGCAGATTAATATATTGTTATTTTTACATTGCTCTTTTACAACGAAGTTCAGAGTCACAGCGCTAACTATATTTCACAGTAAAGGAACATTTCCCTTTTCCTTTTTGTGTTGTGAAAAAGTCGGTAGGTTCGCCTTACCCCAGGTGGATGCTGCAGAACAGGGTAATCGGTGTGAAAACATAGTTTCCCGGTTGTATAAGCCACATTGTTAGCATCTGCTTTGTCTTGCACTTGCCAGGTTGGTCTTTACAATGAAAGGGAAAAGAGAAAACATGTTAAAACAGCCAGCCAGCGTGCCAGACAGCGCACACCAAAACTGTGAAATCACGGTACAAAGGAGTCACTCCATCTTTGAGCAAGAAAAGATTGTAAAATTATAAGGAAATAATGATTTAGCGGCTTCGCCCCAGCCCAGCAAAGGCGGCGTATTTCAGCAGTCCTGGAGTCAAGCGAGAAACTTGAGTGTGCAGAGGCACATCTGGCCCAGTGTAGTACGATGGCTTTCCAGTGGCAGTACTTTGCTGAATGCAAAGATCAGTTGAAGACACTAACCCAGAGGTATCTGCTAGGATAAATCATCATCTCAACGCTGAGGCTGCAGAAATAAGAAAGTGGAAGCTGGCCTATTTCTTTTTATCAGCCTTCTGTTCTTCCCTGCCAGGTGGAGCACGTTATCAATGAAATATGAATTGTTAAAGGCTATGTAACTTTCCCCAAAAAGTATTTTTTAAAGCTTTATGATCTTAGAAAATATAGAAAATTTCCCCCCTTTGCAGGGGGATCTCTCCTGTAACTTGAAGGCTTGCCACTCAAGGAGAATGTCTTGATAAAAGACTTTATAACTTCTTCCCTTTCTCTGACTCTCTTTCTGAGAACTAACCCCATTTACTTTGTTACATACTTTCAGTCCTGAAATTTGACAAAATTCAGTAGGAACGTTTACTGATAACCACAAAAAAAATCCCCTAAGTTATATTACAAAGACACGAATACATCATGTTGCAGCAGAATCAAAATCTGTTTCACCAAGCAGGAGAATTTAAGACCAAGAACCACAGATTTTGTTTGTAGAGAGTTCACATGATTGAAGACAGTCCTCAGCAGATGCGTGTTGGAGATCCAGACATTTGTCTGGAAAAGTGTAACTCACCATATGCAGTCCATGTAATCACAGGAGCGTAAGTGATTTAAAAGAAAATATGAAACTCATTTTCCCTTGTGACATACTATAGACCAAATATATTATGTTTCAGATGGTGTGTGTCTAGCATTACTTCTTAATAATAGTTTAAAAAGAAAACAGGCTAAAGAATGTACAGACCAAAATGATTTATATATGATATACAAACACTTTTGTTCTAGGAGTAATATTTAGTATAGGAACTATGCAAAATGCTAAAACTAAATTTCTGAAATTGTGAGGGGGAAAACCCCCTTGAATATTTGCATATGTGTTTAACGGCCCGGCAAAAATAATTTTTATTATTTGGTACAGCACATGCTTATCAGTACATGGCTTCAGTACTCAGGCACGACAACTTCAGCCATGCTGGGTGTCATCTCAAAGCACCTGGATGCAAAGAAGGTTATCAGAAGTAGTCAACATGGATTCACTAAGGGGAAGTCGTGTCTGACTAACCTGATAGCATTCTATGATGAAGCGACTAGATGGGTGGATGAGGGGAGGGCAGTGGATGTTGTCTACCTTGACTTCAGCAAGGCTTTCGACACTGTCTCCCCCATCATCCTCACAGGAGAGCTTAGGAAGTGTGGGTTAGATGAATGGACAGTGGGGTGGATTGAGAACTGGCTTACAGATAGAGCTCAGAGGGTTGTGGTTAGTGGTGCAGAGTCTAGTTGGAGGTCAGTAACGAGTGGTGTCCCTCAGGGGACAGTACTGGGTCCAGTCCTGTTCAATATATTCATTGATGATCTGGATGAAGGGATAGAGTGTATGATCAGCAAGTTTGCTGATGACACAAAACTGGGAGGGGTGGCTGACATGCCAGAAGGCTGTGCTGCTTTACAGCGTGACCTGGACAGGCTGGAGAGTTGGGCAGAGAGAAACCTGATGAAGTTCAACAAGGGTAAGTGTAGGGTGCTGCATCTGGGGAG